AAGTGTGTGTGTGTGTGTGTGTGTGAGTGTGTGTGTGTGTGTGTCTGTGTCTGTGTGTACAAGTGTGTGCGTGTGTGTGTCTGTGTGTGTGTATGTATGTATGAGTATTGAGTGTGTTTGTGTGTGTGGTGTGTGTGAGTGTGATATGTACGAGTATTATGTATGTGTGTGTGTGTGTGAGAGAGTGTGTGTGAGTGTTGCACCTGCAGTCGTGTGTTGAGGAGCATGAACTCCTGCTGCTTCTGGAAGCTCTGCTCCATGGATTTGGAGAGCAGGAAACCCATCCTGAAGAAGAGACACGAATAAAATATAACACAGAGAACATATTTCCCCACAACAGCATCATCAGACACTTTCCAAACCTTTATTCCTTTCAATAGAGTTCAAACACTGCCGAACATGAAAATCACATTATTCATGTCAAGAAAATGAAACTTGTTTTTAGGACCAAGATTGCATTGTGATATTATTTTTAAAACAAATGTATATAATATGAATAACAGAAGTGTTCTGGCAGGTTTGGTGAGGTTCAGCGAGCTGTTCATTATCTGTTCAATCTTAATAACAGACACAGTTTCTGCAAAGAACCAGTTCATGAATCATCGCAATGACAACGCAGGAATCAAGGAGAGCTCAGCGCAAAAAACATCGCGATCTGGAGAGAAAAAACACCTCAAATCTTCAGTTTAACAAGAATATCTGGAGATTAATGAGGATTTAATGTTCTGGTGAGGAAAACTAAGCGACGTGTGAACAGCTCTCTCTCTCTCAGGAAACTCTGTCTTGTGTTCACACACACAAATAAACTTTACAGCAAACACAGTTATTAACAGCATAAATCACACCTGAACGTCAATCATACCTTACAAACTGATTCTGTAGTTCAACAAACGCCAAGGGCACGCGAGCTCTGCGCACGCACTGACGGCACGTCACTGACGCAGAAACGGTCTCGCCCCTGATTGGCTCTCGCGCTCTGCCTCGACTCTCATTGGTTAATGTGCGCAGACGTCAATAAACTTTACATTCCCGAAGGCTCCTTTGAGCACCCTGAGCTACAAACGTTCATTAAAATGAATGACTAGTAAATGAAACTCACCAAAAGCGTTGTCTCTTTGACAGTTTGCTTTTGGTACATTTTTTTAAGTCGCTTTGGATAAAAGCGTCTGCTAAATGCATTAATATAAGTGTAAAAAGCTTTGTAAAACGATTAAACAAATGGTCTTATATTGAAATAAAATCTTTTATCTTCTGATTGGTCCATTCTGACCGGTGTTACGAGATTTTCGGTTTCAGTGGGCGGAGCATACATGAATATTCATGAGTTTCCCGGACATGCGCGTGCAATCAAGTGGAACTGATAATCTCACGCTCCTTGTATCTCAGCAGGTTTAATGGAATATATATTTTTAAAAAGGTAAATATATTTACAGTGTTGCACAAACTACATTTGTTTATCATTTCGTAACAGTTTATCATGTTTTTATTAGTTTACAGTGCACATTTTGTGCAGTCGTCCCTGACTGAATGATTGCAGGCATTATTTGTGTAATGTTAGGATAAAGCACAGCAAACTTCAGCTAGATTGTGTGTGATACATTGATTTCAGTTATTTGTGTTCTTCATTTCTAGCCTGCGATGCTTTAAAACTGTGTCTGTTATTAGTTGAATACATCACTGCCTGCAACAAATGAAATAAACCTATATAAACGTATCTGTGGACATAGCCTGTATGTGTATTTTTTTGTATACTGGTGTGATGATCCATGTCTTAACCAAAAATCCCAGAACACCTGGATGATTACAGCTACAGGTTTCCAATAGTAGCGCAGATCCAGCTACCATCTCAATTATTTATTTGTATGCTCTTGTTACCTTTTAAGTTTTTAAACTGTCATCTTCTGGCAATGAATGAAATAACATTCACT